TAGTATAGTTAATGTTATGGATTATTTTGGTTTCTCCACCTATTACCTCATTGTATACATGGATTAAATCAGCTCATTTTAAGTTAGGACTGTTATGAGGAGTACAATTTTGTTCAACACACAAAAAAAGCCCATATAACAAAATTACACAGAATTTTTTAAACTGTAAAGTAATTTAGTGATGCTTGAGATAGTTATAGGGGTGTTACATGTTAGATTACTTGGAAAGCAAATTCCAATAGACAGTTTATTTCAGTACACTCTCTGCCACAGTACATGTCATGTCAGGGTGTAAAGGAAGCAGTATTGGGCAAATAGAGAAGGATGCTGAAGCAGTTATAATAAAGGGCTCAGATGATGCCATGGAGAACTTTAGAAATGGTATGGTTTTTCAGAATTATCCTGCATCGAGAGGAAGGAAACCAGATTTTTATACCCTTTCGTCAACTACCAATTGGATATGAGCTACCCCCTGGAAAGGGGAGTGACCATAGGTATGGAAGCTTAATATAGGAGAGGATAAGTTTTTGAAATGCACACACTTGCTAGCTGTTGGACACCAATGTTCAGAGCAGCTGGAAAAGTAAATGTTTCAGTTCTAGAAAAAGGGAGAAGTTTATGGGCAGCAAATCATAGTATCCTCTATAAGATGTATGCACATGTATGTACTGTGCATGTGTTTTGGGTAGGTTTTAGTGGGTAAGTTTACTTTTTCAAAAAGTACCAGAATAGTCTTCTTGATGTAGATGTACTTCTCATGTAGGGCAGGGAATATAAAATATAGGCATGTCTAGGAAAGGTTTCATATTTTTAATCAAACTATGTTTGCATATATAATAATTAATTTCTAGCAAAGAAAAAGCAACTGTTATTATAACATCTCTGAGCAATTAGGAAAAACACCTAAGCAGAGTCAACAAAAGTAGACTTTAAAAAGGCATACTACTGTTAATTGGTTCATTTAATAATATATGACTTGGAAAATATTAAAATTTGTAGTATTGCCTTAGTGAATAATCAATAAAAGTATGTTGAATTTATTGCAAACTTCCTATATAAATGTCTAGCTACTTAAACTATGTGCTCAAGTTAACCACCTACTAGCACCTATTTTTATATTATATAAAATATAACACTCATTTCACTTCTGCCTGTAGTAAATATAATGTGAGTACATAACCATGTTATTCATTTATTTATAGTTATTAATTAATTTAACTACCCCTTTATTTTATAGATTTGTTTTCTTTATTAGCATGTTAGGTGTTTAATTCATCCAACAACATTTATGAAGATCCCATTTTGGGACTGGCATTATGTTAGCTGCTGGGTCTAGAAATGTGAAATAGATATAGTCCTTGTGTTTAAGGGCCTTAGTGTATCTGATTTTTATGATAAGCACCTACCTACATATTACATTCTGAATCAGACGTTATAGTATGCAGAATTTTTAAAAAGTGGCCCTCCAAGATTCCATGTCCATGTGATATTACTCTTCTTACTGGGTTATTATTTCTATCTATATCTGTATTTATACTTGTGTTACATTAAGCAAAAGAAATTATTAGGGATATCTCTCTAAGATATTAAGTGGGACTTGTTTGATATCACAGCTTCCTAACTAAGATGAAGATAATAGTTGGGACAAACCACAAGGTAACCAAAAAACTTAAAAAGAAAAGCTGAGAAATGTGGGGAATGAGATATCTATAGAGGCCTTTGAGAAGCTCTAAAATATTTCTGCAAAACTGCAAGAAAATATGTATGTATAAATGCACATGCTCAGATCTGTGGGCATATCAGGTTAGACCTGAGACTGCCCTAGATTCTTAATCTTGGCTGACTAACCTTGAGGCTCTGTGCAAGCAGGAAGTGATGGCTATGCCATAGATTTTTCACTAGCACTGAAAATTAACCAAAGGTTGTTTGGAGAAAATACATCCATATGTTCAAAAAATATAGTAAGAACTCAGCCTTGGGAGTGGTGAAGGTGTTTTCCACCATGCACACAGAGCTTATCAAAAAAAGAATGGGACATGTATTGGTTTCAGAAACGTAATGAAGTATCTGCATTCATATTTTTCTTTATTTTTGTTGTTGACACTATTACATTTCCCCACTTTTGCCCACCTCCATCCAGCCCCCATCATCCTTTTCTCTGGCCATCACCACACTGTTGTCTGTGTCTGTGAGTTATGAATATATGTTTTTGGCTGAGGTATCTGATTATTGGCTTCAGTGACCACACAAGATAAAGGACAAAGAAATTAAAAAATAAAGAATAAAGAAAGCTCATGTAGAATAAGTTCAAGAAGGCCATTAAGTAGGTGAATAATAAAATCAACAAGCAGCAACAACAAATCCAGAAGAAGCAAAAAATCTGATTTGCACTGTTGCTATGTTATATAAAATGTACAATCATAAATAAATATTATAAGACATGAAAAGAAACAAGAATGTATAACATGCATAGGAAACAAAGCAGTCGATAAAAACCGTCCTTAAGAAGGTACAGACATTGGAATTGCTAGGTATAAACTATAAATAAGCTATTTTAAGTAGGTACTAGGAACAAAATAAAGTTGTCTAAAGAACTAAAAGGAAGTATGAGAATAATATCTCACCTAAGAGAAAATATAAAGAATAAAAATTATAGGAAAAGAGACACCGAAATTTTACAATAACATATTTAAAATTCTTTAAAAAAGCATCAATCAGGAATTTGATGTTTGAAAAACTTATTTCAAATATGAAAAAAAGTTATTTCCAGAAAAACAAAAACTGAGAATATTTGTTGGTAGAACTACCCCTTAAGTAATACTAAAAGGAGTATTTCAGCCTGAAACAAAAGGACACTAGATAGTGAAGGAAATTCATATGAAGAAATAAAAAGTACCACTATAGGTAACTACATAGGTAAATATACATTATAATACAAATGTATTTTTGTAATACTTTTTTCTGCTATTTGATATAAATGAAATATACATATAACAAAAGTATAAATATGTGCTAATGAGAACGTAAATTTTAAAAATATTTCAGCTTTAAGGACACATAAAGACTTAAAGTGGAGTTGTAAAAAGATTAATAATACAAGTAGAAACCAAAACAGAACAAGGTGAAACTAAATAGATTTTAAGCCAAAAATAATAACAAGGGATAAAAATGGTCATTATGTGATGATAAGGGGTCAATTCATCTATGCGATGATAAGGGGTCAATTAATCAAGAAGATATAACAATCATAAACATATATGCACCCAACATTGGAACACCTAGATATGTTAACTATTAAGAGATCTGAAGGTAGAAATAGAGAAAAGTAAAATAATAGAAAAGGGACTTCAATAACCCACATTCACAATATATAGATCATCTAGACAGAAATCAATAATGTGTTGTTCAACTTAAACTGTACTTTAGGCCAAATAGACATTGCATTAAAACTATTTAAGGGTTAGATTCTTAGTTGTCATTTTTTTCAAATTTCCCAGGAAACTTTATTAGTTTACATGAGAATAAGTCCAGATTTATGAAATGTTTGGTGTATCTTGTTTTCTTCCTCTTAAATTCTATATATGTGAAAAATTATGTCACTAAAAAGAAAAGGGAGTCGGATAATTACTGAATATACAGTAACACTTCATCTATTAAAAAGTGAGATTAATGAACATATTTCACTTCACTTGTGGTTGTTTGAAGTGTCTTTGGCAGAGTCATATAAATTAAAAAAGAAATCTTTAATCATTTCACTTCATTAATACTTTTGTGTGATTATAAATAATCATGTTATTAAAAGTACCTATGAATGAATCAAGGAATTTATGAAATATTGACATATCTGCTACATGAACAGGTTGTCTGAATTATTCAATAATTATTCAATAAATTATTCAATAATTCAATTATTCAATAAAGACAATCCTTTAACAAAAGGAATTTGTTAAAGTTTATATACTTTTCAAAATGTTTCTTGTACTCAAGATATTATGTGCTTCTGTTCATTCAAAAGTGATTTTTTTGAACAGTACATTTATATATAAAAAATATATAAATGGCTCATTATGTTTCTATTTTATGCACTTTGGGAACTTCCAAGTCTTCTGTTTTTTTTGTTTGCTTGTTTGTTTTTGTTTTTTGTTTTTTCTTTCTTTTTGTTTAATTTTTTATTTAATTATTTTTCAAGTACAGTTTTCTATTTCTCCCATCCCAGCCCACCCTGCCTCATGCTCCCCACCCCCTCCCATTTCCACCCCCCCTTAGTTCTCGTCCCTGTGTCCTTTCTATTTGTTCCTCCAAATCCCTCCCCCTTTTTCCCCTTAAATTCCCTCCCCTCTTCCCTCTCGTTGCTGCCCCCCTGTTCTCTATTTCAGTGCCTTTGTTTTTCTTTTGCTTGCTTGTTTGTTTTGTTGTTTAGCTTCCTGTTAAAGGTGAGGTATGGTATTTGTCCTTCAACACCTGGCTTATTTCACTCAGCATAATGCTTTCCAGTTCCATCCATGCTGTTGGAAAGGGTAGTAGTCTTCTGTTTTTTAATATGCTCTGGCCTCACTTACTGTACAGAAAAATTCACTCTCAATATCTGATACAAGTTTTTTCCAAGGCAATGCATAGCCACAATATTTTAATTATTCACTATATATAGTGTTGACACTATTCAGTGAGTGTTGAGAGACATCAATCTAAGATACATGAGCACAATATTCCCTAGGTTAATATGTTCATAAAAATATGGCTTAGTTTGATACTTCATTGAATAGTAATATAGCCTGAACATTCACTTTAGGTATACTGTGCAACATTACTGCTTTTTATTGTGTGATCTATTGAATAAAAATGTGTATTAAGTCAGTAGACTGGGGAAAGTTTTCTCTGTCATCATGGAAGATATTTAGTCCTAGGAATGTAGCTTTATATTTTTGAAGAGAAAGTAAAAGTATATTTTTCATGTTTGCGATGTGTAACTCATAAAACTTTTACTTCCAAAGCACCCTCCAGTGCTCGTTCTGGCAGCACATATACTAAAATTGGAATAGTATGGAGATTAGCATGACCCCTGCACAAGGATGACTCCCAAAGCACCTTGAGATACTCAATAAATATTAATTGCTTGATAACAAAAACCTTTCTTGAGTTGTCTCTCGAGACCTCATTGGTATTTTCAGGGAGCTATCAGTTCTATCTGTCTACACTTTCATTAGTATAGTAAGGCTAAATATGAAAAAGGCAGAATAGATTTTGATGTTCCAGAATTAGTGAAATAATTTAGTAGAGAAGTATTTCCTGAATTGCTGGTTGATTCTCAGATATCACATGAGAGGTACAGATTACTTTGGACCTTCTGCAGAGTTAATGTGCATAAAATATATCAAACTCTGAGAGGAAAAACTCTGTCATGTACTATCCAGTTCACCTGTCTAATGAAATCACTTGAGAACCGTGGGCATAAGACTTAAACTGTAAGTGGATACATACTGTCCCTGGTTTATCAGTTGTGTAAGAGCATGACTGTATGCAGTGATTCATTTACTGTTAATGAAGCTTTTAATAATCCATTGGCTAGGCTGTCCCTTTAACTAGCAAAATCTGACCTTTAAATGGATATCATCTTTATAAATTGTTTTCTCTTGTGTCTTCATATCGCTGTTCTTTATTTTTGGCAAATAAAGCACTTTTTCAGTTTTAAAAAGTACATATATATTTCCTGGAAAACAATCATTAAAGTGTAAAGTAGAAAAAGAAAATTGATTTCAGTTTAAACCAACCAAAAGAGATATGTATAACATTCATTAAATATCTTCTTTGCTTGATTTATTATCTTTTCTTCCAAGCTCGTTAAGAAAGAGTCCAGCAAAGGGCTAAGGTCTCAATTAATTTTAATGGGCATGATCAAGATTTAATAAAGTATGTGTTTTAATTGCCTGAGATTAAGCTAAATTGTAACCTTAGTTTGTTATTGATATAAATTAGATTTTGATAGAGGTACAAAATGTATAAATAAATCTCTCTTCTTTTTTAAGAGAAATGGATAAAGCTGATAACTTAGGCAAAAGAGCATTGATTTGTCTAGATAAAATATCTATTAACATAAAATTCAAAAGTAAATGAAAAAATTGGCCACTAACTAATCACTACAGTACAAGGTTTCAAATTCAAATGCTGATCCAGATATATCAGGTGGTGGCTACCAAAGGCCATCTGCCATCACATTGTTAGTAACTATATAGGTAAACTATCTAAGACTCTCTATATCTGTGTCATGGATGGCAAACTGTATAATATAAAAGCTGTCCAAAATGGCATTCTTGTAGCCTTCAATCAATAAACTAACCAGTGAAATATTTTGGAGGGACAAAGGTGTTTCATTTTCAAAATGGTAGTAGGTAAATATTTTATTTTGAGAGGTTTTCCCTTAGTTCAAGTAGTGCTGGCCAGTTGCCAATAGGATGAATGCTCTGTTGAATAGATTCACCCTCAGTGCTATTACCTAAGTAAAGCTACCTAAGCATCTTAGATGTTTGGAAAGCTCAACCCCCATGAGTGGTAGGAAAATAAGACAGCCTACTTAGAGGATTCCTACTTCATTGTTAGTAGGTTAGCATATTAACTTCATATAATTACAGTGAAAGGAAGAACACACCTCTTCCAAAAGCCAGTAAAGCAAGTCTTATTTTATCTAATAATTCATGAGTGTTCACTACTAAAATAAGTTATTTAAATTGTTTTTCAAGTAACCAAAGTACTTAGCTCAGTTTAGAACACATCAATGATGAAAACAGTGTTGTGTGTATATGCATTTGTGTGAATGTGTGCTTGGAGTGTGATGGGTAACTATGTGTTGAGTTGGTTAAGGTTTGGTGCACAATTGTTTGCTTGGTTAAACATTTGTCTAAATATGAATGTAAAATTAAGTGTATGGCTGATAAAAATTTACAATTGGTTGACTTTAAAGCAGATTGCCTTCCTTAATGTGGGCAGACTCCATTTAATCAGTTCAAGGCCTTGCAAACAGAGAGTGAGGTTTCCTAAAGAAGAAATGTTGTCTCGAGACTGCAGCATAGAAATCATATTTGAGTTTCTAGTCTGCTAGCCTGTCCTAAGGATTTCAGACTCAAAACTAAAACATCAGTTCTTAACTAAATTTATATCTTGCTAAGCTTCTCTACAAATTTCAGAGTTGTTATTCTCCGCAATCATGTGATCATCTGAGCCAGTTCCTTAAAAGAAATCAAACTCTCTTTGTAGATATATAGATAAACATATGATGGGGGACACAAAACCCATAAATTTGTAAAAAATTGTGTATTTATTATTACTTGTTTAAACTTTAGTCACCTTCAAAATATTCTGCATTTGATATAATACAGCTATCAAGACTTTTTCCCCTGCTTGAAACAGATTTTGAACTCATTGATTTTGATGCCTATTAATGCTTCTGTCATTTTTGTTTCACCTATTCCACATTGGCAAATGTTTCCCTTTGAGGAATTTTTTTCATCCATAGAACCAAAATAAGGTCACTTGGGGTGAGATCAGTTAAATAGGGAGGGTTGGTTATGGGGCCCTGGCATTTTTTTGGACAGAAACTGCTAAACACTAGGGACGGCATGGGCAGGTGTGCTCATAGATCACCCATCATGAAATGGGCAAATAAATTGAAAGTCTTCAAAAAATTTTTACTGAAGCTGGGCACAGCCTCTCACAATATCACCAGCTTGTACATTAATATAGATGGGTTCCTAGAACAGTCACCCAGTAGGGGAAACCTGTATTACAAGGGGCCTTCCCTCCAGAAGATAATTCCATTTTTTGATACATATAATTCCTCCTCATACATATATAAGTCCTATTGGTTCTGTTTATTGAGATAATCCTTACTGACTAAAGTCCTAGACATATATCTCACAAAGAAGACATTTTATGCAATGGGAAGAGCATATGAGGATGGACCACGTGATATAAATCTACAACCACTGAAAAATCTCAGTGATTTTGTTCTCCCTACTGAGTACCTGGGATGGGAAAAAAGAGTACAACAAAAAGACAAAAGGTTTTAAATTAACCTCAAACTCCAAAGTAAATGAGATTTTCCTCATCATCTTTCCTTGTCTTAAGAAAAGCATAAATTTCAACTTTGTGATTGACAAGGAGTATACTAAATGAGACTGTTAAGTTTTGTAAATATCAAGCATGCATGTACCTGACACACACTATTAAGGGAACTTCTGCTTTGGGTTTTTTCAACTAATTATGATGACTTCCATGTTGCCTGAGACTTATTTTGAATTGACATCATATCCAACTTGATTCAGCAAACAAATGAGTACAAAGATTAGTTAGGTCTTGGGCACTTTATATTCTGGGTCTGTGACTTTTTCAGCTCATGGCATAATTTGTGCAGTGAACTTGAATCATTTTGCACTAACTGTGACAATGCCCCAAATGCATGTGTCTATATACTGGTGTGTGTTCTTTTTGGGTTCTCAGGCTGAGCTTGGTAATGGCTACATAATCAACACAGCTAATTGGAAATGATGTATGAAATTTAAAAATCTCTGGCCAGTGAATTCAGAGAAAGTAGACTAGTGAGGAAATGTGCAGGACTGCTCTACAGTTTAGTTCATGGATACCTGGATATGCTGCTAAATCACATAGGGGAAGAATGAAACCCACCAAGTTTGGGAGTATTAAACTTTTCTTTATTGCATTTTAATCTTTCTTATTTTTTCCATCTTGTCTTAAACTTACTTTAAAATACATTGTAGGTGTTTTAATTGTGGAAATTAAAAACAATAATAAATAGTGATGTTTAAATCCCTAGAGACAAGTTGGGAAATAGAGTACTTGGGATCCTTGCCAGGGGCAAGTCATTTAATCTTAGAGAGGTTTTCCTCAGTATGTTCTTCCTAAATAACTCGAATATGATATGTCTATTGCTGCCTATACCTGCAATTGTCTTCTTATTTTCCATTCACTTGTGATTTAGTGTATAATTAATTCTAATGCAGAATGTGTTAACTCGTTACCTTTTTTATGCAGTAAGTTGAGTGAAATAAGGAGTCAGTTTTCGGAAAAAAGAGACAACTAGTTATTTCGCTGAATCACTAGTCTCCTTAGTCTAAAGTCAGGTCAGTATATTTTGAGAGAGATTACTTTGTGATACCTTAGAAGATGATAGTGCTTAAGAGTTCCAAACTGGAGTCAGATTGCCAGTGCTTGAATTATGGCTCTAATCTTTGCTAATATGTGTCCTTGGTAAAATCATTCATTCTCTCTGTGCTTCCCCACTCCTATGCATAAAATCATCATATTCTAGTATTTATACCCTTATTGTAAAAATTACTGTTTTGATGATTAATGAGATGATAAATGTAGCACTTTTTAAGAGAATGCCTGATATATAGAGATGAGTCATATGTGGATTTCCTTTTTTTCTTTTTTCCCTCCAGTTTTTTTGGGAGGTATAATTAAAGGATAAAATTGTTTTATATTTAATGTGTACATATGATGATTTAATATAGGTATGCACTGTGAAAAGATTACTACAATGAAGTTAGTCAATACATCCATTACCTCATATAGTTATTCTTTTTTTGATAATGCTTCAGATCCACTCTCAGCAAATTCACATATATAGTATAGCATCAACTATAATCTCCATTTGTATTTTAGATCCTCAGAACTTATTTATAACTGAAAATTTTCACTGTTTGACTAACATATCCCAATTTCTCTACATCCTAACCCTTGGCAACCACTATTCTGTTCTCTTTTCATGAGTTTAACTTTCTTATTATTTTTCTTATTATCCTCTTCTTTTTTGGTAATATTGCCATTTATTACCATATATCCTAAAATCAAATATATTGTGCAAGTAAAAACTGTTGTCTGTGTCCTGAGGTTTGTTTTTTTATTTTTTTAATTTAATTATTGTTCAAGTACAGTTTTCTGTTTTTTACTCCCATCCCAGCCCACCCCCTCCAGTGCTCCCCACCTCCCTCCCATTTCCACCCCCCTTAGTTGTTGTCCATGTGTCCCTTATACTAGTTCCTGTAAATCCTTCCCCTTTTCTAATATAATCTTGGGAAATATCAACCAGAGCA